ATTTTATATCCAAAAGGGATTGTTTTAAATGAAATCAAGACCAGAGCACGTCAGATTTAACTTTAGTCTTTCCACAGAGGAACCAGACGACCCACAAATGTTCTTACATAAAAACGAAAATTGTAGTCCCGTATTTGCACTATTTTTGCATAGATATCAATAAAACAGAACGCAAAACATGAAAACTTTAAATTGGAATAGATGGGAAAACTGGCAAATGTTAGAACAGTCACGTGACTACCACAGCCCCTTAAACTAGCAGGATAGTTTATCGCGCTTGGGAGCAACTGTGTACCTAGTCATAAACAAATATTTCGAGCATGCCGGAGAGGTTAACGCTCGAAATTTCTAAATTCGTCTAGTCCAACAAACATCGGAACATCTGAATAACCAACGGCGGCGCGAATAGCCGAGGAAACACAAACGTGGCCGTTCCATTTTTTAAAACACAAAAGATCCTCTGCAACGTGTCCGTCGCGAAGTTACCGCGCGTTACACTGAATAAGTTAACGTACATGTAAGACCAGGAACACATGTGTTGCATGCATGAATACGTACGTATGTATGCATGCATGCACATCGGAGCAGCGAGTTTCTGCGAAAGCTGATGGACGCTGGTCGCTCTTAAACTCTCGTTGACATAAGCAGGACGATTTTTATCCTACGAGGAGAGAACGCGTACATTTTCCTTGTCCCTTTTTCGCGTTATTCAAATAGAGAACGTCCTTCGGGACGCAGCGACGTAACTTCTTCAAAAATTAACGCCCGTCGTTTGGGAATGACTTGACAATGTAGATTTTCAAGGGAAAACATTCTCGAATTCTTAGAATACTTTTTAATATAATCAATTCGTATTTCATGAAATCGTCGATCCATTATTACTATTATTTTATTTTTATTTATTATTGTATATTCTTATTATTGCAGATTTGCAAAGATCCGATCAAATGCAACTGCACCGACATAAAGGGTGTTCCCGGCACTCCTGGGATACCTGGACTACGTGGACAGGAAGGACCTCCGGGTGAAATCGGTCCCGTTGGTCCATCCGGTCCGAAGGGTGAAAAGGGTGCCAGCGGCGAATATGGCGCTACTGGAGAAAAGGGCTACAGAGTAAGTAACACTTTTTTTGTAAAACTAACATAAGTGATTAAATTAAATTATTTTTATGATTCAACCGCATATACATGTTCCCTCTCACGGTTTTATAAACGTAATTAAAATTGTTTGATAACTATAATCGAATATGTTTCAACTATCAATGAATTATTGATAACATAGTAAATGTTCCAATTTATCTTCACGTAACAATTTCTACTCATCACTCATACATATAAAAAGATAGAAAAGAAAGCCAGCGAGTAAAAATTGTTACATGAACAGAAATTGGGTCATTTTTTACATCTTTTTTTATTAATTAAAAATATCTAGTATATTCATGGAAAACTTATTTAGAAACGTTTCATAATGTAGAAACGGAATTTTTGGTAACTGACTCATTTCAGTCGTAAAATTCTTAATGAGAGCAGCAACTGCTTCGACTTTTTTTATTGCCCTGAGTTAAACGTGGGTGTATTGATGGGAACTAAAATACAGTGATGTAATACCCTTTTTGTAATATCGCAGATGTCTCTTAATTGCTTTCACAGTTCGTACTCGTTCCCATGAATGCCTAAATTATTCCTCTAAAAGATTTCATCGGTAATCATTTATTTCCAATTGGAGTTAAACAACATAAACTCCATGATGCCTCAACGATCATAACAAGCAAGAGCAGGAACTAGAATCTCCATACAAAAACAGGAGCTCTCTGCTGGAATAACAGAAAGCTTATAATAGCTCTTGGTGATCATAATAATCAAGCCGAGGCAAGAATCTCAAAGCATGAACAGAAATCTCCCTAATAGATTCAGAGGAAATTGCGTGACATGATCATCGCGTCTCCATCACGTATTTAAATTAATGATATCAAAGCCGCGTATTCCTGTTCGATCTTCGATGCATAACATTTCGGAGATACGTAAGGAGGATTAAAAAAAAGATGCTATGGCGTCAGCAACAGGGACGAAACGTCTCCGAATGCGGAGGAGGGAATTACCCATGGAACTCCCACGAAGTCCCTGTTTCTCCTCACCGAAGTACCGCGAATTTTTTCTTTCGTAAGCCTCGTCTCAACGGATAGGATACGACGTGACACATTCGACATTTGACGCGATAGCGATAACGTTCGTAGAAGGAAGGAATATTGGAGAGAATCACAAAGTAAACTTATTCAGAGGTTGTCACTAGTATGTCACATGTTGAATTCAACTTTTGTTAAGGGTTGAAAGGGCTTTAGAACTCGTACAGTTCGATAATTATTTAGAAAACTCAGTCTTCACAAATATTGTAATTAAGTCTATTTGCTTTCTAAAATTATTTCAGTATTTCGAGATTGAGATAAGATTTATATTTAAAAAAATTAACGGGACGATAAGAGATTTTATCGAAATGTTCGCTGGTTCACATTTGTTCGATAGACTCCGTCAATGAAAAGCTCAGTCGTTTACAAATGTTTTAATTAAGATCGTTCTAATTGGTTTCCAAAATTATTGCTACGCTTTGATATTTTTAGATTGAGATAAGATTTAAATAAGAAAAAATGAAGGGGGTTGTACGGAGCAGAGAACGATAAGGAATTTTATCGAAACGTTCCCTGGTTCACAGTTGTTCGGTGAGCTCCGTTAATGAACATCTATCAGTTTGCGGCGAGATAAGACTTTACGAGCGCACTTCTCTCTTTTTTACGACACGTACGGATTGCTGCATCCTTACATCGCCGCGCCGGCTCCGAACGAGTCGTCTGGATTCTGGATGACGTCATGGCCCTTTCTGGTACCGCTGCATCGACCTTTTGGACCACTGCAGCGTTGCCAGTGCGCCCTGATTTTCTCCAACATTGTCTGACCTTTTTCATAACTTAAAAGAACGCCGTGAACAAAACGAGGGATTGCCTTATAAGTACGAGCTACAAGCTTTCAGGGAACTAAAAATAGTCCTTCGAACATAATTCATAGGGAAGCTTGCCTATTAATCTGACAATTCCAATCACGTTCGATCGTCAGACTAGCAGATGGATTCTTAAAATCCGCCAACGAGCATGAATTTGAAATGATATTTCCGATGCCGTCATAGTTCTTCAGAAAAGCGTCTCAGTTTTTCGCATAATAATTCAATAACCGTCCAGTTCTATCTAAAGAGATTCGATTTACAACACGGTGTGGGAGGGATCGCGAGCTCGTACATTTTTACGAAGCCCGACGTGGGTGAACGCCGCGGCAATAAAGTGTAGGATACGAGATATAATTTTTTCATTTATTCCGCGTTATTCGTCGAACATCCGCGCGAACGAAACAGAAATCTGAAACGGTATGTAAATTTCATGGAGCTCATCGCCGGCTCGCTGGTCGTATATCTTCGGTTACCGTTCGCCACGGTGAAGCATAAAGTTCACGATATGGCACGCTCGATTAACGTTGCGCCACTTGGACGTTAACGCCGCTCGGTTATTAACAATAGTTCGTATCCTTGTTCCGTTGCATTGTTTCTATTTCACGCGATGTACAACAGAGCTTCGCGTGCAGCTTTTTCGCGTACGAATTCGAGCGAGGCGGTCGTAAAAGGAGCACGCGCTGCCACGAGCTGACGTCATGGTTCCTTCTGGAGAACGGATGCTCCGTTACCGTCGCCAAAACGAAAAAATGTTCGTTCTCGTGGTTGTTTCTTCCAACAAACACTTGTCGTAAAACGTATCCTGTTTATGCGATTCTATACTCTACAGGGTGTCTCTAAACGAGGTCTACCTAAATATCTCTTCTGTTTTTTGGTATGGTATAAGAACGTTTCATAGCATGACTTAAATCAGGGGTTCCCAACAGTCGAGTACCATACGTGACTACCATAGCTTAAACAATGCTAGCATATTGAAAACAACTGACTTGAGGAAATACAAGACTAAAAAGTTTGGAATTTTTGACGCTTTTTAGAATATAATTCGATATTTTTCGATATTTTGACAAAAAAAAAATTTTCAATTTTTCCGAGATTTTTC